AATACAAAACTTATAGATTTTGTATCTTCTAATCTGAAAAATACAAGTGATTATTTAAAAATAATTACAAATTTATTAGAATTTTCAGAAATTAAATCATATTTAAAAGATAATATTATATTTGTTCCAATGGATTATCCTGGACAATTAAATATTCAAAAATTAATTGTTCAAAAAATTTTAAATCCTAATAATTTAAATATTCCAAATAAAATTATTTATTTTATTCCTATACTTGGATCTTTACATGTTTCATTAAATACTCATGAAACATGTATAATTAAATTTCATCCTTTTTTTAATGAATTATATAAAAATGTTTTTAATAAAAAACAAAATTTATCAGAAAAACCTAAGCCATGGCAAATAAATTTATTACTTTATATTACTTATATGAGATGGATTAAAATTAAAACACAAGTTCTTAAAGTTTTTGAAAATTCCAAAAATGAAGGATTTTGTTCAATTTTAGATCTTTTGAATAATATAATACCTTCAACTTTGGATATTTATACAAATTTATTTTGACATAATCATTTTGAATATTATTATAAAACAATATTTCGATTATGGATGTTTATGAAAAGATGTAATCGAAAAAATTATAATAAAATAAAGTTACTTTTTTTATTAAATATTTTTCAATGGAATAAACAAAAACATCCAATAATGGATATATTTTTTAAATATCTTAATTTAATTGATGAATATCTAGTAGAAAATTTTCATAGTCTTGTTCGTAGAAATACCACTTCAAAATTAGTAAATGCAAAAACTCTTAGACAATATGGTATTTTTATAGATTATGAAAAACATGAAAATAAATTTATTGAATATTTTATAAAAGTTAAAAAATATCCACTTTCTAAATATCAATTAAATTCATTATCTACTTCAACAAGTATTTTTCTTTTAAATTTTTTTAAAAATCTTTATAAAAAACAAAATGAATTTAAAATTGAAGGAAATGGTAAACAAACTAAAGTTTATATTCCTTCAATTGAAAAAAGTTTTGTTAAAGGAATTCTTCCATCAGCATATCATACTAAACATATTCCAAGTAATAAAAAACCTTGTGATTTACAATTTTATAATGATATGAATTCAAATATAAAAGTTTTAATGTGTGGACATGCATATCATCTTAAATGTTTTGTTAATATATTAGATACTAATTGCAATTATTGTTTTATTATTATAAAACATCAATTGAAGAATTATCAAATTCTTTTAATTCTCGATTAACTGTTGAAGAAAATAATTATGAAAATAATGAAATTGATAAGATTGATAATACTATTATTAATATTGAAGAAATTAATAATGATGAAATATTTGATAACATTAATTTAAATAAAAATGATTTTGATATTAAATTAATAACAGCTATTAATGATTTTATCATTATCAAATTTTAGAAGACTTTCTATTGATTTTCAGAAAATATAAATCAAAATGATAATGAAATATTATATACTTCTAACAAAAGAAAAAGAAATTCATATCTTACTAATCCTATTAAAAAAAAATAAAAATAATATATATATACTCTTATTTTCATTATTTATTATTTAAATATTATTATTGTTATTTTACAATTTATTTTTTTTATGTATAATTTATTTTTTTTTTTTAAAATGTATTAGTTTTTTATTGAAATATTCTTATTTAATAAAACATATTCAATTTATAACAAAAACTTATAAAAACATTAAATATAATTAACTATTTATCTATACTTTTATTACATAAAAATTTAATTTAAATTATATTAGAGCAATATTGATTTTGCGAAGTTTAATTAAAAATTTCGGCGATTTCGCAAAATTCGCAAAATTCGTTACGTGTCTAAAGATGGGTTCCTAAATTAAAGGCAAGGACATAATTCAAATGTCTCTCACTATTAAAAAGGTTTTTTTTAAAATATAAGATCAAAAAAAACTACCTATAAAGGTTTTTTGCAATTTAGGACACTTGATCCAAGTGTTTTTTGAATTATGTCCCTATTAAAGTAATAAATAAATAATTATGTCCCTTTAAAAGGGACATAATTGATCTGCGAAATTTTATATGCTAAATAGTTTAGGGACCTATCCTTATACGTGTCGATCACATGAGTTATACATGATTCAGAAATTTCACTCGAAAGCACGCCTGCACAGGTGCTGCACAGTCACTGCACAAATGCGGTAAGGATGCTGCATGGGGAGCATTTTTCTGCGTCCCAAAATAGTAGCTTAAACTTTGCTCACGAAGTGTCTGTCCAGCTATGTAAAATTTTGTCTGAAAAAAAATTATCCAAATGTGAGATTATATAAATAAAAATTCTGAGTTAATCTTGGAACATCTACATATGCATAATTATTTGTGTAACCTGCTGATTGTTGCTATGAATTCTAAATTTGATTGACTAACTCGTGGCATTCACGTTTTCTTTGTGAAAAGTTTTTTTTCGTCGTGCATCGCACCACTTTCACATTTCCTAAATCTACTCTTCCCATACCTAAACGAGACTGAAATGGGTGGGTGAAATGTTTTAAAAGGTAAGAATAGCGATTTATTATTACCTGTCGCTTTTAGTTATCTTTTTTTATTGTATTTCTTACTCGCGATTTTTATTATACCGAAAAATGGAAGAATTTCTTTTAACAAGAGAACCCCTTAATATCGTTAGAATTTTCACAGCATTATTTGTACGAGTAGAGTATGGTGAATGGACAGGCGTTCTTGAAAAAGAGGTAGAGAATTTTGAAAATGTTTTGGTACAAGTTTTAAAACAAGTTCCCTCAGAGGATATTGAACGGATAAAGAAGCTTCAAAGTTTTAGTACTGGAAAAAAATTAGTGAAACTGGTAAGGCAATGAATTATTTTTATGATAAATATATGGATATAATGACTTGTATTTTTTAGGTTTTCTAAAAGGCATATATACTAGTGAATGGGTTATGTTAATTGTGATGTTATCACTTCCTGCATAGCAGTAGCTAATTATATATACCAATATTGATTATTGAGCTTATTGCCGGCATTTTTGATAGTTTATGAAAATGAAAACCTAATTTGATCCTGCGAATTGTTATTCACTTTAGTTGACAAAATATGTTAAGTCTAAGCTAAGTTAATTATATTTAGGTCGCAAGTGCCTTCGAAGATTTATGTTCTCTTACAGAAATGAAGGCTCTGGTGATTGATGCGGAGACTTGGCCTGACGATATAAACGCAAATTTGCATTTTTTAAAACATGATGTTGGTCAGCTTATAAACGAGAGCATTGATTATGAGAAAACTATGTGAGAAAGAATTGAAATGAAATTAGAACAAGTAAATATTGAAAGCCTTGGATTCGACCATCCAATATGTTCCGGAGTTCTTGATATCAAATCCGAACCTTTTACAAAGATGCCTGGATTATTTTGTGATGTTTTTAAGGAACCTTTCCAAAAATATAAGTTAGATCAAAACGATATGATAATGGATATTTGTAAAGAGTTCATTCATAATGAAAAATCGAAGATTAATGTGGATGATGATTTGAGTAATGTTGAATATGGGAGATGGTTAGATAATTCTGAGAAGCTTCAAACAATGTCTAAACAGATACTAGAAGCATTGTAAGTTCTTTATTTTCACATATGAGATGAATAAAATTCTAACAATTAATAATACTTTATAGACTTAAAGTTTGGAAATCGCCCAAGTACAATGCCTATTCAAAGAAAGGGAAACCGGTTAATGAAGGGTCATATGTTTGCGAAGTACTCGCGCCTTTAATAAACATAGTGATGAGTGATTTACCTGGGAACCCAGTTGTATGGGATATATGGTAAGTTAAAAATGGGTTTTTAATAACTTGTATATATAGTATTGTTATTGGTACACGGTGAGTCTGTCGCTAATCCGGACCAGATCGTCGTGTAACGGTAAGTATATAGGGGCTTGTATCGCTTGCTAACCAGAGGCACTTGTTGATAAACTCTCTTCTTTCTAGTTGCCGGTCTAATCCTATACCACAAGCCATTGTGATCCCTCAAGATTCTATAAGCGGCAAACAACCAATTAAGGCAAGTTTATTAATTATATTGGTGCAGTTACAAGTATTACAAGTTTATACAATACGACTACTAACTCTCCATTTTAACTAGTTAATCCATCTATATTTATACCCGCTGCGACGCGTATGCTGATATACCGTCGCGTCCTGCAAATCCCCGATTAAACTATTTAGGCTTCTTGATGCAAGGCCTAATGGATCGCGCCATGTCACGTAACTATTGGCGATCCTAATGACTCATACATTTTTCCATGCTAACAGTATAATGATTATAATTTTTCCAATAGGGGTGAGGAAGAAAGTTCGGCTAGTGCTGTATGAAAAGGTTCTCATAAATTTGCGCAAAGGCCCGATTATATGACTATAGTACAACTAGAAAAGAGTGTAGAGCTTGAAATTGTATATCTAGAAACTGGTAAACCGAATTCCACCCAGGACAAATGACAACGAGATCATAAAAAGTTAGTACGATTTTCCAAAGATTTCATTGATACTACAAGAAATGTATCGAAGCTTAAAAGAATATTCAATAAATCATCTAAGAGACAGAATTTGAGTGTATTTACTATTAACATTGCCGGTATATATTATAATTTATTTCATGTTTTGCTAATCAATGATATTTAATCATATTCACTTCATATACTGTAAAATTACAGGCGATATTATAGAACTTTATGCTATGCGGAAAGAATCTGGTATTTACAAGTACTGTTTAATAGAGGAGGCAACAATTCTATTACATATGACTTCAAGTGCTGTATACCCGCTTATCCATACTTTGATGTCATTGAGAACAGTCGTTGCATGCACAATTCATAAAATATTACATAATTCTGATTCTGGGAATAGTGAGTTTAGTTCTAATGAAATAGTAATAACTGTTTCAACCTCCAAAAATGAATAGAGTAGATTCCACTTTTGTATATATAACTTGTAATAATAAAAAATTTTGAAATAATTGATTCGGTTTTTAGATTTGTGATTATTTTTGTATGGGTCTCATCCTCACGTGACATAAATTTCAGTTATATGATTTTGGTTTACTGTCCGATTAACTTTTCCCTTCATACGAAACTACGAAATATAAAGTATAAAAAATTTGATTACACAATACGTAATTTGACATTTCAACCGTTATGTATTATCAATATATATGTTTCAGCTGTTATGATTCGCGTTGCACATTACACTGGTTGATCGTCGTATATATATACCCTTACCAATCAACGATTAATTACCACCACTATCCGCACTTCTTTTTTTTTTTCGCAAAAGCAAACACTATTCGTCTGAGTAAGACATCAGCTCTAGGAATTTTATTTCTAACGGCTCGTCAAATTGTGTTGCTTTTTCAATTCTCTCTATTAGTTAATATACCGTGAGCCCTTATTCTCAACCCACCTTTTACAAATCACTACGATGGACACAATTAACTCGTTCAATAAGCGAAAAGAAGTCATGCTGGAGGAAACACCACCTACGAAGAAGTTGTTGCGAGAGGCTCGTAAATGCAGAAATAAAAGGCTTAAGTGGGAACATGAACATGGACATGAACAAATTGAATCTCCCTACGTATCCAAAGATGATGTAGCAACCAACTCTTCCACTGACCTTGATATAGTATTTGATCCGATGAGGGTATATTTATTTTTTTTTGTTAATACGGCACCTTATTTAGTATAGCAAAATACTTTTCTTGTTCGTTGTTATTATTTTGTGCTGATAGGAGAATTACCTGAGTTATTTGTCACGAGTTTACCTAGCAAGTTATGGGGTGCAACAGACGCATAATCACCAAGTTGGTGGCTCAGCACTTTGGCAAGGGTAATTATTCTGCTCCGCAAAAAATACAATGTATTTAGTTGTTCTAATCATTGGCTTCGCTTTCTTTTATTTTTTTATATTTTATACTCGTCACTTAGAAAAGAATATCTTAATAATATTAAAATAAAATAAGCTAAATACCCATTATTATTTTTAGTATCGTATTCAATCTGCAACACGGGGGTTATGCACTTCAGACAAAATATATTATATTGAAAACGAATGGTCGAGTATATCTCTCTCACCCTTGAATAGAATAACATCTAAAGAAAAAAAGACACAACATAATATAACTACGAGGGACTTATTAATAGAAACGTTAATTAGAGAGACGAGGTCTGACAATACCGACCCATTTGAGATACTTGATATTCTCTTCGATTTTCTGATGTTAGTTGATACCGATATAATTAACAAGGTAGATCCAGATGTGATAGACATAGGAGATAAGAAAAAACGTTTATGGGTTGTCTTTGGCCATTGGTTAGAAATGGAGAAGCCGATTTTGAGAAGAGATGTTCGCGAACACCTAAGATTAAAGTGGAAACAGTTCAAACATGTTATGAATATTCGAAATAATCTGGATAAACCTATTTCAACTCCTATACGTTTCACCCGAAAAGAAAATGTCTGCCTTATTATATCTGCACGCAATAATTTTCAATCCCTCGATAAGTTAGTAAAGTTTCGATATTTAACGATATCAGAGTGTATTACAGATCAAGAAAACCAAACTTTAATTCATCTAGAACAACTCACCAATCAAAATGCCATACTTCAAGCAACCAATGCAATAAATATTTATTATTTCGATTTGCTGAAGCATCCATCCCACCGGAGCGATAGTTTCTGGTCAAATTTCATCGAACATTTTGGAGCGTATACGTTATATAATCTCCTTCCGTATACTAGTTCACACACAGCCTGCACACATAATCCCGAACACCAAGAATGTGTCGATAGATTAATTCGGGGGCTGATGGCATTATCCAATTGTATCAATGATTTTGTTCAAGAAAATTATGCGGAGATGTATATGAAACTAAGTAATTTGACTTGGGGTCCCTTCTTGTCATGTTTATTCGGGATTTTTTCTATGATCGCGATTAATTTCAATATGATCAGTGACTTCCATTGGGATGAACATGATGAACCGAATAGTCTTTGTTGTCTGGTCACATTGGGGATTTTGAGGAAAGTGAGCTTTGCTTCCCACAACTCCAGATCGTTGTTTCACTTTGTCCTGGACAAATCGTTGCTTTCTCCTCACGTCTCCTCCTCCATGGGAATTTTCCAGTAACTCGAGGAATTAGGCATAGTATCGTTTATTTCATTCATAGTACGTTCTTCCACCATTTGCATAATTTTACCAAGATTTACAAAGATCGAAAGGATGGAATTGAGCGAGATGCACATGGGACGCTTGTTTCTATGATTCCTCAGCAAGATCTCAACGACACACGAGATCTGAATAACTGAATCACACTTTTCCAACCAAAAAAAAGTCAAACCACGATACCAGAAAGAATGTGTGATAAAAGGTGAGGAGCTATCGACTTGAGACATACACGATGGGGTTTAAAAGCTGAGGATCCAATACCTGACGAATCATAGTTCGATAATGGATTTGATGTAAAAATCAGCTGGTTGGGCAAATCAAAAATAGATTAGATAAATAACTATGAATTTATGCGTGTAGGAGGAAGGTGGAGAAGCGTGTAAAGACATAATAGCATTTTATATATGGAAATTTGCAAAATCTTGTTTATTTATCCCATTAAGAAAAGCTAAGCAATGCAATGCTTGGAAATAAAAATTTTATATCATATCTGTTTTTGGGTGATTGTTGGTTTATATACATGTGATAAAAGTTACATGAACTAATCAGAAAATAATATATATAATGAAATTACTTAAATTACGCCTAATGCATCGTTGTTTTATTATAGAATAAAATCCATGCAAAACATTATGAAACGAAATAATCAGAAATCAAAGTCTGCAGTCGCACAACTCTATATCTTACAGGTCCGGGGTGAAATGCACGAATAATAAAAGGGACATTTTTAAATTGAAGTAGTTTTGAATTTCAGTTTTAAGATCATCGTCTCTCGCCCCACTCGGAATTGTAATTGTTTAAATAACAGCGTCTCTTGGAAGACCAAAGAATGTGTGAATAGGACTAATAAGGCATTCAAGATTAATAGTAGCCATTATTGTGTTTCCTAAATATTAAGACCCATAGTAAGTAAAATCCCACTCTGAAGCTCTAAAAAATCAAATACTTACCTTTACCGTGAGTTAATATGATGTATCAAAAATTCGTGAGGGTGGGAAATAAAATTCTTTCAAACCTACTTATTTATATTGCTTCGTTAAAGGGATCTATAATGTTAGTGTCTTGCTCTTTATCTATCGAATCTATGACTAAGATCTTCAAACCTGTTATAATTCAACCTCTATAGAAGTGTTGCCATATACAAGGTCTATGAATATGCGGAGTGTTTCGTCATAGACGCATGAATGAGACCCCTTTTGGTTTGAGATTGCTTCTGTAAATCGAAAGTTAGTTAACCCATGTAGATCTCGGAGATTGCGAAGATTTCGACTCCTTACGACATAAGTCCCTTGTTATATGCACTAATAGAGATTATCTGGCTGACCTTCCACATTACCTTTTTGAGCTTCACTTTTTGTATACTTTTGTTATTGGTACAAACTAGTCTCCGGTTAAAGAAACGCTTAATGAAAATGATAATCTATGCTGTACCAACTTCTACGCCAATTCCAATTTGTCGATTTAATACGTAATTTTTACTAATATAAATACTGACATCAATTCTTACCCTATATGCTCCTCCAGATAAGAAAAAACACGAATTAGATTCTCTATCAGCAGTTTTACCCAAAATCATATATTACAGAAATTTGGAATTTCCAGATCATCAAGATCGTTACTACATGAGAGAGATCGTTGAATTTAAGGAGTGTTTACCAGTTGCGAATACAGGGGAAATTTGACTTATGTTAAGCGGTTAATCGCAAAAATAACAAAAATGAATTTGGTTTTTGGAATAAACTGAAGGAATGGAATGCTATAAAATACTTTGTTCTTTTTTCCTGTAAGGTGGGTATCAATAACGTCTTCTACAACTAATTCCAAGTAATATATCATTATTTAATATATTGCTGTTTATTAATATCATAAAACACATTTATGATTACCACTATTCTGTATTTAGGAATGTAAAAATGAGCAGTAATAAGAAAACCGCCATCAAGATCAATGATTCCTCTACCTCCAAGACCAATGATAACAATGCATCTGAGAGCAATTATTCTAGCAACCTATCATTTTCTGCACCAAGAACCAGACAACAAAGCAGACCGAGACAATCTTTATCTTGTAAGTTTTTTGTTATAAATACTCTATGAAGCATTCTATTTATTTTCACTGTATTGAAAGATAATTAACAGTGGCTAACAAAATTATATCTTTAATAAAAATTAGATAAGCAGACCTGGAGAAAAATATCAAAAGATAATTTAGAACGTGATAAGAAGAATGATGATAATTGGTTAAATCCTGGTCAACGGGGTGATATGTTGGATCAGGC